GCAGAAACTAACACACCATTGTAAAGCAATTATACTCCAATAAAGATGTTAAAAAAATTAAAAAAAAAAAGTGTCAGGTACTACCTGTTTCTACCCGTAGGCTTTAATGACTCAGGAGAGTCCAGCAGCGCCCTCTAACCCCCTCCTTTGTCTTTACCCTCCTGTCACACTTTCCCACTGGGCTGTGCCTGGCGACCGCGTTGAGCAGGGGTGGGAGCTCCTCGTGCCAAGTCTGGGTTTGTAACTTTGGGGACAAGGGGGAGGGGGAAGGGAAGATGTTAAGAGGCCCTTAATTGGGGAAAATGTCTACAAATCTGAATTCCCACGACACCTGGGATTCTCATCAGAGCTTTAACAACTCAGATCCTTCCCACCAGAAAAAGATGCAGCCCCTCCTACACCATTTACCACGGGCTCCACTCCAGCACCAGGCATCTGACTCATCAAGGAAGGTGAAAGGGTTAGAGGTTAAAAAAAAAAAAAGAGAAAACCATAAGCACCAGGCTTAGTGACTTACCAGGGCTTTTTCAAGGGTGATCTTTAGAGAGAAATATGTCTATGTAGAGATTAAGTATGTCATTCACTTATAAAAGAAGAGAAAGGAAAAAACCAAAATCCTATGAAAATTTCTTTAATTTTCATCTTTTGGAAATACATTTTTCATTTTTATTTCCACGATACAAAAATGTTAAATATCGAACAATGATCTATATGAAGCAGATCTACTGAAGTAGATCCACGAGATTCTGTCCCTGTTGTGATCTGTTTCAACAGAGAAAGGGCTGGTACAGGGTGTCGATTTGTCATGATTTCACACACATGCACACACGCCACCTCACCCCCAGATGCCACCAAACAGAGAAGACACCAGGCTAAGATAATGAAAACTGAAAGCAGCGCTACATGGGAAAACAGAAATTAACTTTTCACTCGTACACTCCACCATGAGAAACTCACATCTCAGGGGGAAAACTCTAAATAAATATGCCCCAAAGGTCAAGGCAGGTGTTGACAGCAGTAGAGATTTTCCTACTGGGAAAACAAGCTTGAGAGCCTCATATTTTCAGGCAGCGATGGTGGAAAGCAGGCAGACACAACCGAATTCTCTACTGGGAGACATACCCACGCGCTGGAGCTGCCCCCAGGACTGAGCATGAGATGGTGGATGAGAACCTCTCAAAGCAGGAAAGAGTTCAACCCCAAATCAGGATCACAGCACCTAAGAGTGTCGGCTCTTTCTGTGAAATCTCACAGCCAACCTTCCCCATCGGGTGGATTCTTAAACACAGATTCATGACAGGAAGGGTTTCACATGAGCAACAAGTAATGACCTGGTTAATCACGTACACATGACAGCCAACGACATGCTGCGCACCAGCAGACAGGTGATGCTAAAGAGGAAGGAACACAGCCTTGACGATAAAAACTGGGATTTTTCAGGAGACACACACTTGGTTTCAAACCCCTCCTGCACCACATTGGATTCAGTTAAACACAGTATGGCTTCCAAAAATGCCGGCTGCTTCTTTCCTTCTCAGCAACAGCACCAGCGGTTTGTTCCACTCAGGTCTTGGTTACCACGTGTCAGGGACCTCAAAGAGCTTGGCTGAGCTGTCCGAGATGCTTCCTGGTGGGAGAGGACAAAACAAGGTGAACAAGGAGAGGACCACCCCGGGGGGGAGAACAAAAAGACCAGCTGCAAAGACAGCTTTGATCAGGGCCAGGGCCGGGTGGTGGCATGGCCACAAGTGGAGAGAGTCCACGGGTGGGCCTTGCCTATGGAGAGCAGTGCCCAGCAAACAGAGGCCACACTGCAGAAACATCACGGCAGGGCCGAGGAAGTGCCTCCCTGCTTGGGTGCTTCTCTTGATTTTACAGGAGTGACAGTATCTCTCAGTGAGAACACACTCTGTATTCTTTGCTAACCAGCATGCTGGGCACTTAGTTCATTTAATCTTCATAAAAGCCCAGTTCAGGGGTACCAATATCCCCATTTTACAGATACAAGGCATCTAGCGAGTGGCTGAGATGAGGTCTGGATCCTTCCGCAGCACCAAGGTGGCTGGGTTCCTCTGTGCCGTGGTGACCGGCACCCAGATGAGAAATCTCAGGGGCTGGCGGCTAGACAGTGGCGGGAAGCCAACCAGTGGGAGTTCAGAGATCCCAAAAGGGGCAAAAGCAGCTTGTAGCTTTTTCCAATTTCAGCAACACTGGCTACAGTCTTCTCGGAGGACTGAAGGGTCTCTTCCGTTACAAACAGTTTCACCCCGAAGTTAGAAGCCCTTCTGCATTCAGCTACTTTCTGCAACAGCAGCAGCAGCACTGGGTCACGGCCTGGACCACAAATGTCCAGATCCGAGTGAATGGGAATTAAGTCAGGAAACAGCATGTTCACGATGGAAAATGCACGACCGGGCATTCCCGTACCCGTGGTATCATGCATTATTTAAGCCCTAGAGCAGGGCTGGCAGGGAAAAGGGCAAAGCCAGCCCCAGCCGCTAACACGCCAAGAGTTCAAAAGGGGGGAGGTCTGTGATGATGCCTGTAGTGGAGAGTAACTTCTAAAAACAGAGGGGAACTCACTCGGCTGGCAGTGGCTACTGCCAGTGACAGGAATGCCTAAAGGTAACTAGGTCCAAACACATGAAATAACACAGGGAATTCCACTAGAGTGAGAATTCCCACTTCTGCTCATTTATTGAGATAAAGTCCAGACAGACAGGATAAGAAGAGCAGGCGAGGGGTCATTTGAAGTGTTCTGCCCCAAGTCTCGTGGCTGTGTTGCACATGCATCTCTTGGGACTGCTCCTGAGAAGTGAAGATGGGCAGGAGATGGTCCACGTGACAAAGACTACCATGATCCAGTTAGAAAAGGAATAAAGGTTATTGAAAAATGAAACAAAACACAAACACTCCCCTCCCCAGAGCAACTAAATACTACAGACGGCCCATGATAAGACTGAAACCAGCCTGACCCCTCCTCCACCACACATTCACACAACACCTAATTGTAGGGAGGAAAATAAACATCAATAAGGGCATTTTTACAATTCACATATCAAAGAAATATTACAGCAGCCAATCTGCCATTCTAAAGGTAAAAGCCACAACGCCAAATGTGGGGAGCTGAAATAAATTAAAACTAGCTGAGAGGAAAAAAGATAAATGGCTAAAAGCAACTGCGTTGTCATATTTATAATCGCACCCGTGGTTAGCTGGATGGGAGTATGTGTGAGTCTGGTGGTACGCCATCAAACGCATAGGAGCGACTCTGTGAAGAGCTAGTGAGAAATAACAGAATAAGCAAAAGCTGTGAAGTGAGGCAAGTCTGGCCTGACCATCTCACTAGCTGTAAGACTCCAAGCAACTCTCAGTGCCTCATCTATAAGATGGACTCGATGCTACTTTATGCCACCCAGGACTTCTGAGATTCAGGCAGGTTCCTGGCACAGAGCAAGTTTTGTTTTTTGTTTTTTGGTTTTTTTTCTTTGCAGTACGTGGGCCTCTCACTGTTGAGGAGCACAGGCTCCGGACGCGCAGGCTCAGCGGCCATGGCTCACGGGCCCAGCCGCTCCCCGGCATGTGGGATCTTCCCGGACAGGGGCACGAACCCATGTCCCCTGCATCTGCAGGCGGACTCTCAACCACTGCGCCACCAGGGAAGCCCCAGAGCAAGTTTTTAATGCATGTTAGGCCCCTTCCCCTAGGGATAAGGTGGCCCAACACTGAACGTGTGGCTGCCCAGGAAGCCAACAGCCTGCAGTCAGAGAGCTGCCTAAAATGCGCAGCTGCTGAGCAAGAATGATGTGTACAGAGGAAACAGAACTTTACAAACCATGTAAAGGAGACCCAGACCAGAGGGGAGCTGGACGTCACTGCTGGTGTTTGCTCTAGCACCTTCCAGAAAGGGAGAGCTGTAGACCGTTGAAGGATCCGTCTCAAAGCTAACGGACAAAGAGCTACGGTCGGTTTTCCGGGGGACTCACTTTCACAGCCCTGTTTAGTTACTAGAGTGCAAAGAATTATTCAGGAACAATTTTTATTTTTAAATAGATACTTCAGGACATCTGCCTCCTGCTATGATGGACCATACCTTGCATCACATACAAAGATTAACTCTAAATGGATTGTATGTCTAAATGTAAAACCTAAAACTGGAAAACTTCTAGAAGAAAACACAAGAGAAGATCTCCGCAATCGAGTAAGGCAAAGATTTCTTAGATATGACAACAAATGCATAATCCAAGGGAAAAAATTGATAAATTGGATTTCGTTAAAATTTAAAACTTCTACTATTGAAAGATACTGTTAAGAGAATGAAAAGAAAAGCACAGTCTGGAAGAATTTGTAAAACACCCATAAGGACTTGTATCCTGAATACGTAAGAATACATAAGAACTCTTAAAACTGAATAAGGAGAAAACAAACAGCCCAATGAAAAAATGAGCAAAAGATTTGAACAAACATTTCATTAAAGAGATTTAAATGGACAAATAATCAAATAAAAAGATACTTAACATCATTAGTCATTAGGGAAATTCAAACCAAAGCCATAATGAGATACCAGTACACACCACTAGAATGGCAAAAAGGACAATACCAACACTGGTGAAGGTACAGAGCCATTAAGCCCTCATGCCTGGCTGGTGGGAATGCAAAATGCTGCAGCCACTTTGGAAAACAGTGTGCCAGGTTCTTATAAAATTAAACATACACTTACCACACGACCCAGTAATTCCAGCCTTAGGTATTTTCCCAAAGAAATGAACACTTAGTTCGCACAAAAACTTATACACAAATGTTTATATCTGCTAGATTCTTAGTTGCTAACAACCTAAATGTCAACAGGCAAAATGGATAAATAAACAGTGATATGTCCATAAAATGGACTGCTACTCAGCAGAAAGAAGGAATGAGCCAGTGACATGGGCAAGAACACAGACAAAACGTCAAATGCATTAAGCTAAGTGCAAGACTCAAGGGGTTACTTATTTAATGATTCCATTTAAATGACCTTCTGAAAAAGGCAAAATTACAGGAATAGAAAGCAGATCAGCAGCTGCTGGGATCCATGGATGGGAAGGGGCTGACTGCAAAGGGGCACGAGGGAATCTTCTGGAATAACTGTTCTATTTCTTGAGCACAGTGATGGTTATTTGACTGTACATATTTGTCAAAATTCATCAACTTGTACACCTAAAAGTAATGACATACTGTATGTAAATTGTATCTTAATAAAGCTGACCCTGCAAAAGGTATGAGGAATGTTGTTTTAAAAAAATCCAACAAATTTTAATATGAAATATTATGCTGATAATTAAAATTATTTGACCAAGAGTTTTTTTTTTTAAGTGGGGGGAAAACAAGATACTAAATGACATATAGAGTATGATGCCAACTATGTATAAAAACGATAGGCAGGGGCTTCCCTGGTGGCGCAGTGGTTGAGAGTCCGCCTGCCGATGCAGGGGACACGGGTTCGTGCCCCGGTCCGGGAGGATCCCACATGCCGCGGAGCGGCTGGGCCCGTGAGCCATGGCTGCTGAGCCTGCGCGTCCGGAGCCTGTGCTCCGCAACGGGAGAGGCCACAACAGTGAGAGGCCCGCGTAACGCAAAAAAAAAAAAAAATGATAGGCAGAGTAAAATACTTGTTAACAGAGTATCAAGTAACTAGGGTTTAATGTTCTTTCTAGCTTCCTTCATTTTACTGATTTTCATAGTGAGCACATTATTTTTATTAACAGAAACAACAAAAGAAACTAAAAAGTGGTAAACACAAAGGGTGACTGTTTCTGCTGATTTACCTTTCATCTAACTAGAGTTGAAAGGGAGAAACTCTGAGAGCTAAGACAGCTCTTCCCTCACGTGAATCTGAAAAACTACACAGCACACTGAAAATCTGCCATCGTATCGTTTCCTACAGAGTGGAATTCTGTATAGGGCAAGATCCTCTGGGGTACAGGAGTTTTTAAGTAGGAAATGCTCCAAAGGGCCTGGTCGTGGGGTGGTATCCACATCAAGAAAGCAGGGCTCCCCTGGATGGTGTGTGGGGAGCCCCCGAGGTATGCCTGGAGGAAGAGGGAGGTGCAGGGAGTGTGCCGCCCCACAGGGCACACTCCTCAGTTAGGCTGAAATCTGCATTTTAACCGAGGAATTAAAAAGTTCTTTGGGAGGTTGCTGGACATCCCTAGCCTGGCCGCTCAGGTGACCGATAGCACCAACTGCAGATCGCGTTCCTGACTTCAGGAGACCTCCAACGGCACAAGGAGACCGCTGTTCTAGGTAGACTCCCTACTTTTATACTGTAACCCTAGGGGTTTAAGCTGGAAAGGTTCAGCAGATTAGTCAAGACTACAATAAAAGCTGCGGCTCTTGGAAACCATGTAAAGCTCTAATGTGTTGGGTTTTTCTTTTTTTAATAAATTTATTTTTGGCTGCGTTGGGTCTTCGTTGCAGGCTTTTCTCTCATTGCGGCGAGTGGGGGCTACTCTTCATTGCGGTGCACGGGCTTCTCATTGCGGTGGCTTCTCTTGTTGAGCACGGGCTCCAGGCGCGTGGGCTTCAGTGGTTGTGGTACGCGGGCTCAGTAGTTGTGGCTTGCAGGCTCTAGAGCGTGGGCTCAGCAGT